GGGTCTATTTGTCATCTCTTCTGGATTTTGGATTTTGATGGTGATTTGGTACAGGAGGCAGGGTATGTGGATCTAAATTATTATATGGTAAAATGGGTATTTAATTTGAGATTTGATGTTAGTTTCAAAAGGTATATAATTGGAGTGTAATCAGAATCTTAATTAATGAAGATTCTTCGGTAAGAATTTTGTTTAGAATTTATTTCTAAGGATTACATCAAAGATTATATACGAATATTTCATCCATTTATTTATAACAATAAATTTAACAGTTGATATTATTTCGATAATTTATTAAAATACGTTTTAATTATTTGAAGTAACTTTATTCGAAATTTTTAACTAGTTACTTTTTCAATGGGAATCATTATCATCGTGTTTTCAAATTGTTAATATAACAAAAATTATTGTTGCTCGTAAGAATTAGTCTGCGAATAAATTTTCAACAAACATATTTATTAAAATCATATTCAAGTCTCTGTGCAATAATACCAAGCTCGCTTTTTCCATTTCTCTCCTATTACTTTTATCCAAACGAGATAAATATATATATATATTTTCACTTTCTTCCGAGCCTTCTAATCTTTATGAGTATAAAAAACGTCCGTGAGCCTATTAACCAATATTTACGAATCGCGCGAGCGATTACCACCACGACATCTCCCTAAGAGAGCCTTCTCGGGCTCTCGAGTTATACGAGTCAACATGAACGGGCGATACACGTACGCGTGTAAAAGGCCGCGACATCGTAAACAAAACTCAGGTTCGTGTTATTAATAATAACGAAGCGATTTTGGTGGGCCACGTTTGAGTTGGCTTCGACTCTCGTTTGGCGGGCCGCGTCGTTGCGAAAACATTCTTCGTCGATTTACTTTCGGGAATTCGCGCGTAAACGTTGACGTATTTAAGGGAGGTTGTAAACCATTTCTATTTCGGTGTCTCGCCGGGAATAATCGCACCGTCGGACGGATTATCGGCTAGCCCACTCCACTGTCCAACCTAACCTTAAAAACCGATAATTACGTAAGGAGGACGATTTACGATCTCTTGGAATCGTTGAATCGATATACAGTAAGTAATAACTGAACAAACTTATTTTACTGTTTTATAACGTTCAATTTATTATTTATTCCAACTTAGACCTCCAAATAAATCAATTTATTATTATCCACCTCGAAGATATATATATTTTTTTTTAGAAAAAATCGCTCGATTCCGCGCCATCCAAACAAACGTATCCATTCCATTTTTCCACATCCTTGCTATTATTTCCACTTTTAAAGAACGGAACGGAATGAAAAGTACGCCAAGAATTTAAAAATCGGGTCTATCACCGATCTTTTATCCACCATCGTCCATCGAATCATCGGGCAAACCACGGAATCCCTCGGACCGTGGCTAAATTTAAATATTTAACCGGAGGGAAGAGGCGCGGGGCACGATGAAAATTTAATCTAATCGCGATACTCGTCGTCGCGTTACAGGGCCGCTGCCGTTCGTATCGGGATTGCTATCGGAAAAGGAGGGGGAGGGGGAGGAGGAGGAGGATTTGCTGGTTGAACGACGGTACGACAAGGAGTTATGATATCGGTGGCGATCGCCGTGCGCAAGTGAAAACACGGTGGCGTGAGTAATATACAAGCATAGGACGATCTTTTATAGTGGAGCGGAGGGAATGATCCGCGGCCACGTCCGCCGAGATAGGATCGTTCTAACCCCCGCTCGAGCCGGGGGAAGAGAGGGTCAAGGAGGAGCGAACCCGGAGCAGTCAGCGGTTCTAGTCGTAAATAAAACCGAGTCTGCTACCAATGCCAATCCCGTGGACCGAGTATGGTAACCGTTGAGCTGCGCAACGGCGCAGTTGCGAGTTGGAAGAGTTTTCGAAAGAATGCACTTTGGAAGAAACCAAGCTTTGGAACCATGGAATTATCTTAATTCGAATGTTTGAATCGTGAGTATTAGAAGTTGTCGAAGAATTATCTTAATTTAATATTTAAATTAAATTGAATCACAAATATTAGAGAATATTAAATCTGATTGAAGAGTTTCGAAAGAATATAATTTTGAAAACCAAGCTTTGAACCATGGAATTATCTTAATTCAATATTTGAATTAAGTCGAATCTTTATCGAAGAATGTTTGAATCGTGAGTATTAAAAGTTGTCGAAGAATTATCTTAATTTAATATTTAAATTAAATTGAATCACAAATATTAGAGAATATTAAATTTGATTGAAGAGTTTCGAAAGAATATATAATTTTGGAAACCAAGCTTTGAACCATGGAATTATCTTAATTCAATATTTGAATTAAGTCGAATCGAAGAATTATCTTAATTTAATATTTGAATCGTTGAATCACGAGTATTAGAAATTGTATTGTGTCGAATTTGATTGAAAAGTTTTTCGAAAGAGTGGAAAAGGGAAAAGGAAGAATCGAGGTTTGAATACAATTTACCTTATTTTATTATTCGAATATTGTTTTCTTTTTTTTTTTTATTATTATTTTCAAATAGCCGAATAATTTGTAAATGATCATTCAAGCGAGGTATGATTAAAGACTACCGTAACTGTAATTTCATTCTGAGCAAATTTTGTCTTAACGCGATTCCTTTTCAAGAGTTAATATTCATATCGTGATTATATCAAGATATCGATAAGCAAAAACCGTAGCTACACGATGAATAGAATCCTATTACAACCTCGTTACATCTATCCGTAAACACCCCAATTAAAACCTCGAGCTCGAGCCAACGCAAATTAGACAAGTTGGTAAATCTTATCCCGCGGTAATTCGCTTCTTATGCCTCAATTACCCGATTCATTAGCCTCAATCGCTCCCAAACACGATTTCCTAACAGCTTCGAATAATACACATCTCGCAGCAGGGAAATACCTCCCGGTAACAAATCTAACCTTAATCCACCATGCACGCAGTTACTTAACCGCGTATCTCCTTTTCCAATTATCCATCCCCTCCCTCCTCTCGAGCGCAACGAATTGTCCTAAAAATTGGATCGAACGGTACCTTCGATCCCATCCGATTGAGCGCGCACTTCTTCTCCCCGCGGAGAAGAAAACTCGCTTGATTTGCTTGGAAAAATCAAACGAGAGAGAAAAAGAGAGCGAAAGAGCGAGAGCGAGAGAGAGAGAGAGAGAGAGAGAGAGATGGAGGCTGATTGCCACGGCGCGGATTCCTCCCCGAGCAGAAATCATCGTCGGTCGATCGTGCGAAACTCGTTACTCCGGAGCCGTTAACCGCGCGAATAAAGAAGCGAAATAGTTGTATCGAGAGGCGTCCTGACGAGCGAATCACGAAACGATAACGTCGTCGCTTCTGATTTCCACGTAATCATGCCACCGCCCGGGGAACGTCCCGATAGATGAGCCACAACGGAGCCCTCCGGCAATTTCCTTCGCGTTACGCACGCTCCTCCTCGCGATCGGTTCGCCTCTAGCCGATTTCCGTGCTGGCTAGTCGCGCGAAACTTGTAAGTCATTTGAGAAACGAGCCCGCTCCGATTTGACGTGCTCCCGTTTTTTCTTTTCGCGATAGATGCGGTCTGGATGGTTGAGAACAGGATTGATGGAATGGACGATGGATGGAATCGAATCTTATGTTGGAACGGTTTTGTTTGTTGGGAATGGAATTGAAAGTGATATTTTGAATCTTAATAATTAGTTTTTAATTCTGTTGAATTTTTCTTCGTCAAAATTGAAGCAATTTAAAATGTAGAAGCGTGTTCGAAAATATAGATATAAAAAAAAAAAAAGAAAAATATGAGAAAGAATAATATTATTCGCTTAGAATTGTTCAAAGTATATTTACGAATATCACGTAAAAGAGTAACCTATACTTTTTATGCATTACACTATAATCATTCGTCTCTTAGAAATCGAAAAATTTCGCGTCCACTTCTCATCGAACCACTATCATCCACCGGAAGTAGAAGTTAAAAATTCACCCAGCCGAGAAACATTACCGACGACGCAGCTGCCCACCACCTAACCTATACGTGTATCCACGGCGAACGAGTTACGCGGCGCGAGTTCCCTCGGCACGAGAGAAGAGCAATCAACCCGGCAATCTAGCATTATTCCCCGGCGCGTTATTGCGTTATTGGCGTGGAAGTCGAGGTCTGGAACCAAAGAGGAAGACCGATGGGCAACGGCGGTTGCGTATACCGCGATTAGGCGGGTTGCCGCGATTTGAATGATTAGATAGGCTCGAGACGATTCGGAGATGGCTAAGTTCCCGCCGGCGAAATAACAGCCTCCGGCTTGAAGCGGGCGGACACGTTCGTGACCGGTAGGCACGCATCTCGCATCGCGGGTCGATAGTTCGCACGAACACACGGACGAATTCGCTTGGCTCGACATGTTTAAAGCTGCGTTTATATCAGGCGAATTTTCGTTAATCGTACAAGTTGATCAATCTCATGTTGTCAGAAATTGTTATAGATCGAGTTTGAATCGAGTGAATACATCTTTTATAACGTATAAGTTGAAATTGTTTATTGCGTTTTGAACGAATAACATGACGATACGTCACGTAACACTGTAATATCGTAGAAAACAATATATGAAACGAAATATGTATACATCGTTTCACGAAGTAAAATTTGGTTAGGTTAGTATATATTTTTATGGATTAAACGATTTGAGGTTAGTCGAGTGGATTGATCGATCGAAAGTTGCCTAATATAAACGCAGCTTAAATACACGCATCCATTCTCTAACGACCTAACCGATCGTTGTCTACCTTATCATCGTTCTCTGCTCACCTCTCTCATCCCGGCTCAATCCTCGACAGGTGTATCGAGACTGGATTAACGCTTGGTACGATAGCCATTTCAGTCGATTCGAGAATCGAGAGGGCTTTTAAAGCGAGCTAACCACACCGTGTGGCAATTTCGTCGATACGGTCTCGGAACGGCAACGCACGTTTAATCGACCACAGAAACGAACGATGTATGTAATTTTAGGAAACAAAAGACTTACCTAGATTGGTCGGGAACGATGGAGAAATTTAGACTATCCATGCACTGATCTTGATCAAAATTTGACGGAATATTAAGAACTCGTGCTTTATGCTTCACTGTACCACACGTTCCACCGAGTCAGTTAGAATTCCGCGTTCCTCGTTTGGGAAACGATAAATTATACGTATGGCTTGTAACGAAAACTTAACGTGGGAATCGTTTTAACAAAATCGTATGAACTTTTTTGACGATACGAGACGAGTCCGGAAACTGAACGATTTACAAAGATTGAATAAGTTTATAGATTTTGTGCCATCTTGTATTAATTGACCGGATTAATGTTAATTAATTGTAATACCGGAAAATGTACGAAATGGAATCGATATAACCACGTTGGACTTCGTTTAGAAACGAACTGAATTTTGAATTGAAGTGAACTGGGAACTGCGAAACAGTGATGCCAACTTACGCAATAATAGCAAACATAGTTAATTCAATATTAAATAATTTCTGAAAATATTTCACAAATACAATTTTAACTTTAATTATGGTTTTTATTGTTCATATCTTTAAGTGCATTGTAAATAATTTATACGATTTATATATATATTCACGTAGATAAGAAAAATGAATAAATTATTTAATATTTTATGTTTTATCTTTTTTATCTTGTTTATCTTGCTTATCTTGTTTATCTGATTTATCTGGTTTATTTGATACATCTGGATTGTCTTGTTTATCTTGTTTATCTTTTAATTCAGATTTTGGTGGATTTTCGACAGGAATATTTGATTCTATCATCTCAGATCTTGTTCTGGGAATCAATCGAAAATTTTTCATGTCTTCCGCTCGAAGATAAGCATAATTTTTCTGCTCGTAGATTTTTTCAATCTCTTCTTTCTTAATCGCTGAAGTGAGCAACAAAATATGTATAATTAAATAATTAACACACAATATTTGTTATAAATATACTTAATAATGTTTAATCACGTACATAACAAATCGTCGTTTCTCATCGAGTAAATACTTTGGTCATTCTTCTGTTCATCCAATGATCCCAATTTCACGATTTTAGGATTTTGAATTAAATTGCTTGCATCTATGCACAATAGAAATGAAATATTTTTGAATTATCCCATTTATTTTGTTCAATCCATTCATCGAAAAACTTACTACTTTTTGTTTCGTGTGAAGGATTGCTTGGAGGGGAACTCACAGTCATGGTAATATTTGGTTTAATAGTTTTGACGTGCGTTTTATTATCCTTATTCTTAACATTTTTGGTATTTTCTGATTTGCTGGAAGTGCTGCTACTCCTAAGATCCATTGAATTCTTGGTATTAGACGAGTGTTCTTCACTGTTCTTAGTACTGGATTTTTTTTGATTGTTGATAGAAATATCGTGATGCGAATTTGATGGAGTGACGGATTTCGATGAACTTGGATTTTCAACGTTGGCATTCGTCGGCTTCGGTTTGTGATGGTTCGGTTTCGGAGGTTCTGCTCGAAATATTACACATTTTTATAAGGAAAGGAATAAATCTTAGTGATAATCTTTTACCGTTTTAAGTAGAATCATTCGTTTTACTCGATTTAATATTAAACATTTCGATTATTATCTAAGGCTTTCAAGTGTAAAATCATCGGTTAAACGTTATATCGTGCGTGTGTAATGTTGATGATCCCTGATTACACAGATGATAACGATAAACGTGTAATTTCCAACTTTAAAGTAGTTGATACATCGATAAAACATTGGAACGATATTTCTGGGAAAACAAATCCACTAATATACCCAGAAGCTACTACTAGGGAAAATATTAACTACAATCGACGAGTATAAAATATCCTTCGTAAAATCCTATAATTTCACTATTTGTGGATCTAACTTATAACATATATATATATATATATATATTTAACCAACCACCTCTTTACAAAGTAATTGTTTACACAACTAAATAACCACGTCGTAAACTTGTTCGCGTTTCTCTTGATAATAAACCGATACTTGTTAACGATTATCATTTATCCGCTTGCCTCATGTTTCTCTCTCTCTCTCTCTCTCTCTCTCTCTCTCTCTCTCTCTCTCATTGTGCGCGCGTAAAAAAAGAAAAAAGGGATCCTTTAAAAACTCGATTCATTCCCTCGACTACGCGATTACAAAACACGATTATCCCCGTTACATGACATTAACAGTAGGCCTCCGATACAATTTATTAAATCGGGTAAATCGGTAACGTTTGTTACCCTCGAACTAGAGATGCTCAGCGCTAATGCAAAGCAAACACGACGACGACGACTCGTCGGCTTTAATTACGATCAAGGCTTGGTTAACGGCGATCATTTTACGCTAGGCGTAAGCCGCTACAAGAAATCGTGTAACGACCGGTTGTAACGACCCTGTTGGTTGGACGGTAAGGACCCCGATATTAAATGTTCCGCGTATCACTACGCGGCTTAATTATCGCGTTACAAATACAATATTATATTTCTGTATCGTAGTGGTATCGTTCCTCGTTCACTTTGTGTATCACAACTTTATTACGGAGCGGAGCTTGCACTTTCCTCGTGATCGCAAACAGGAACGATAGAGAATGTTCCAATGAGGAAGAAGTTGAGAATGAAAAGTTCTTCTATTCGTGGTAATAATCTTCGAGTTTGATCGTTTCGTGTTTGGTCGTCGAGGAAACATTACTTGGTCGTTAAAACGTTCCTTTTTTTACGACGTTTTTATGACGTATTTATCGTTGGTATCAATTAAATATATTAGATATCGATCCCAGGTGAAATGTGCAGATTCTCTTCAGAGTCTTGTTATTATACCATACACATAAAAGAGATTTTTGCCATTTACCGATATCGAGTCGAGATATTTAAATAAAGGAAACATCGATAGATGGAATGTTCTTTTTTTTATTCTTTTAATATATTAAGAACAATATAAATATAAATATATATATATATATATTTATTTTTATATATATATATATTTTTTTTTTTTACAGTTTAGAATCGCGACGAAATATTTACCAAGAGTAATAAACATTTTGAACAAGAATCAGTTGAATTCACAAGTAGAAACTAATACGCGAATTGCATGAAGCGTTCTCAACAAAATTTAATACAAAATTTTCTTTACATAAAAGATCTGCCTGTTATATAATTATCGTTAATAAAACATTTCAAGGGAAGATTCTAAGAAGACTCTACCGCTTGGTAAATAATATTTGTCGAATAACTTTCTCGAATTAAAAGTTTTACTTCAACGACGAACGAAATGTTTTATTCCACATCGCAACTCTCCACCGCACGAGCGTAATAGGACATCTTGCGAGCTGGTTGTTGGCTATCGATACGCAGCGGTTTCGAGGAGTTGATCGACGAATTTATAATGTTTGGATTGTTAAGCTGTTTCCCAGATCCGACCCGCCTGTGCATCTGCCATTTGTAGAAGTGTTCTCGACTGTACGGATAAGGATCCCCCGGTATCCTTATGTAATTATTGTCGATGATTACTTCTTGAATATGCCGCGTATCCGAGTACAAATCTTTATTTTGATCGGGGCGAGCATCTTCTTCCACGATGGACGGTTCCTCTTGGTTTTGGGATGCGGATAATTTTTCTGCAAAGAAGAGAATTCGTGAGATTTGTGCGAGATTCGTTCCTTCTTTAAACTAAACAACATAATAAAATAATAAAATTTAATAATAATAAAATAATTTAATTTAATAAAATAATAAAAAGGAGTTTTTATTATAAGTTCAAACGAAAATATCGACGTCGATGGTTTTTCTTTTTTTTTTTTTTTTCTCTCTCTTTAATTACCTGGTGATTCCAACGTCATGGATTCGTAGCCAGGATAAAAATCGTCCTCGTACGGATTTCCATAATCCAAATTGGACTGAGCCCCTTGGTCCGATCTGGCGTACATGTTATCGTCGCCCTCGTGCTTCCTTATGTCCATATCAGGGGCATCCCTTATATTCATCAACACCTTGCTCTCCGAGCTCTCCTGTTGCGGGTTATTCAGAGACATCTCGATATCCTTCTCCGCAATCGTGTTCAAACTGTCCCCAAAATCCGCGTCCACCTCTTTCTGCGCCTGCGCCTGGCCGAAATTCATGTCCGACTGTTGCTCCCCGAAACCGTTGCCCATCGTTTGTTGCTGTTCCTGCTGCTGCTGCTGCTGTTGCTGCTGCTGCTGCCTCGATCCAACGTTCTCCATCGACGACACGTTCTCCACGCTCGATGCGTTGTTCTCCATACTCTCCATCCCCTCCTTGTCCCGCGCAAAGTTGTCCCGCAGATTCATCTCGTCTCCCTTCATCTTCCTCTCGTCCGCCTCCTCCTCCTTCTTGAAGCTTCCCCAATCTGTCTCAGCATTCGTCGAGTAATCGACGGTAGAGATTCTCATGTCTTTCAACGAGTCAAGGATCCACAGATCGCGACACTTTCGATTGATGGCGTATCCGGCCGGGGTCCCCGCCCTTCCCGCCCCCTTCCTCGTCCTCGAGATCGAGAAGAAGGGGCCGGTGTGCAGCTTCTTGGTGTCGAATTTCTGGGCCGTGTCGTTCGGGCACGGGGCCCGTTTACCCTCCAACCCCTTCGCGTCTCTTCCACCCTCCCCCTCGTCCTCCTCCTCCTTCGCGCTCGAGTGGTCGGTGGTCGGTATAGCTTGCACGTCCAGCTTCGGCTCGGGCGGCTCGGGCCTTATAGACAGCATCTCCATGCGCCCGTCGTTCTCCCTCCCCGCGAAGTCCTCCTTGCTGGGGTCCAACGGGACCTTGGACTTCTGCACGAGGTCCTTCCACGCGTTGATCTCAGCCTCGAAGTTCGCGTTGCTCGGTATGTTGTACTCCTCGTCGACCACGCTCGTCTCCTTCAACGTGTTCGACTTGAGCATCTTCTTCAACGACTCCAGCGTCGTCTCCTCCTTCTTCTCCTCCGCCCCGCCCTCGGCCGCCTTCTTCGCGGCCGCCTGCCCGGCCGACGATTTCCCGCTTCCCTGCCCCGAGGACGCCGGCGGATCCTTGCCCGGGTCCTCCCCCGCGCTCTTCGCCGAGCTGAGCGTCGCCTGCCAATTCTTCAGCGCCCGGACGGCGTTCACCTGGCTCGTCGCCGCCGCCGCCGCCGCCGTCGTCGTCGTCGTCGAGGCTTGGTTCACCGCGTAACACGCGGGCACCGAGTTCTGTTGTTGTTGCGGTTGTTGCGGTTGTTGCGGTTGCTGTTGCCCGATCTCCTCGACAGCCTTCACGCCCCATTGGAAATTGGCAACGTCGAGGTTGTCGTGCAGCTTGCTCTCCACGGTGGCCTCGTTCTGCACCGTCCCCGTAACACCGCCCTCCATGCGTATCACGGGCTTCTTCTTCTTCTTCTCCTTCTTCTCCTCCTTCTTGTCCTGCTTCACGGGCATGTTCGGCTCCCTGATAGGGGGCTTCGTGTTCCTCGGCGTGCAATTAATTATAGTTCGTATGGGATAATTGGCGGGGGGCGGCGTTCTAACGGCTCGGAACAAGCTCGGATTCCGGGCGAACGATCTATAATTCAATTGGTCGTCGTTGAACTCGTCGTCTTTAGCAGACGTATCCCCTTGATCCTCCCCGTAATCCTCCTCCTCCTCCTCCTCGTTCGATCTCTCGTATTTCGATTCTATTGTTGGTACCTTATTCACAAAATCCACGTGACTGAGGGCCACTGTCACTGAGGGTTCAGCTTTCTCGTATATATCAGCTTCGCACGTGCCATCTTTGGATTTGAAATTGATTAAATTCTTTTTTTTTTTTTTTTTTTTTT